GGTTGTCACCTAGCCTGCACCTATACTGCAACCCATGCCACCTCTTATTCTCCAACAGGGATGGCGACACCTTTCATTTTTGTACTCTTTCGCCAAGTCCAATGGCACCTCCCTTCACGTTTAATCGTGTTACATGCATGCAGATATTCCTTCTCCAAGACTGTCACCTAGCCTGCACTTACACTGTAACCCATGCCACCTCTTATTCGCCAACAGGGATGGCGACACCTTTCATTTTTGTACTCTTTCGCCAAGTCCAATGGCGCCTCCCTTCACGTCCAATCGTGTTACATGCATGTAGAGATGCCTTCTCCAAGGCTGTCACCTAGCCTGCACCTACACTGCAACCCATGCCATCTCTTATTCGCCAACAGGGATGGCGACACCTTTCATTTTTGTACTCTTTCGCCAAGTCCAATGGCGCCTCCCTTCACATCCAATCGTGTTACATGCATGCAGAGATGCCTTCTCCAAGGTTGTCACCTAGCATACACCTACACTGCAACCCATGCCACCTCTTATTCGCCAACAGGGATGGCGACACCTTTCATTTTTGTACTCTTTTGTCAAGTCCAATGGCGTCTCCCTTCACGTACAATCATGTTACATACATGCAGAGATGCCTTCCCCAACGCTGCCACGTAGCCTGCACCTACACTGCAAGAGTGACACTTATCATGCATGCATGCACCCACCTACCAACTCACTTACTCTATGATAAAATTTTGCCTATAAATACAGAGCCTCACATACTTCTATTGCATCCACAATCGTCTCACTCTCTGCTACAAACTCTTTCATAATCTCATACAATTTCAAACTCTTTCATAGTCTCAGACATTTTCAATAATGACTCTTCTCACAATGGGCGATTCTCAAAGAGGCACAAGGGACAATATTGCAGCGTTTGTAAGTTTCTTGTATACTTATATATTTTTCATACTTCTTTTAATGCTTTATTCATCTTACCTACTCTTACACTTTTTACATTATTAACTTAGGATACTAACAGATTCAGAATCTGGTCACACAACTACCTTGCTCCCGATCTGTTGATCATACCCTATCTCGAATACGCAGGTTTCATAAACGTTATAAAGACCTCCAACTGCACGATTGATTCAAAGTTCATACTTGCAATGTTAGAAAAGGTGGAGACCAGAGACCCATACATTTCATCTACCAATAGGTGAATGTACCGTCACACTAGAGGACGTGTACATGTTATTGGGTCTCCCTGTCGATGGTAAGGCGGTTAACGGGTCGGTTCAACAACCCAATTCTCTGTGTGAAGAATTGTTGGGCAGGGATATGGTTGAAGGTGGTGGTGTGAGAGGTCAGGGTATACTACTTACTGAGCTAAAAAATCATTATGCGACTCTGGAATTGAACGAAAATTCCTCCGAGCTAGCTAAGGTAATAAAAGCTAGAAATTATATAATGATACTGTTTGGAACATTTTTATTTCCCGAAAGTACAGAAAATTGTGTAAATTTTATGTATTTAAATTTACTCAGAGACTTCGAAAAAACTAGAAAGTATAGTTGGGATTCTGCTGTTTTAGCCCATCTATACAGTTCCTTGTGCAAAAATGCAATCAAGGAAAAATATACATTTTATGGCTGCGCTTTTTTACTTCAAGCCTGGGGTTGGTGGAGAATAGAGTCCCTAAACCCCGTCAACAACAACACATTTGTTTTCTCATACGCAACAAAGTAAGTCATCAAGTTATATCATTTATTACTATTCATCTCTTCACCAAATATATGATAAAAAAAATATTTTTCAATTCCTTTAGGTACTGCGTGAGGGGTATGGATTACGACAAGAATCCAAGATTCAATGTCGCTTTATACCGCAATCTATTAGATCACCTTGGATCGGATGATGTACGTCATACCTTTCAACTTTTCTACTTTTAAATTATTTATTTATTACGTTTTCATTAAGTTGGTTTAATTTTATCTGCAGTTTATTTGGAGACCATATTTGGGTTTGGACCATGAACCAAACCCCAAGGATGCAGCAATTTGGAGCGTAAAGACTGCAATCATAAGGTTCAATGTTTGGAGATACACCACAGCGACCGTGTCGAGATGCAGTTTGGAATGCATCAAGAGATACTCGGTGATCCGACTTGTTTGTCCCTGTGGCATCTCAAAAGGGTCGACGCCTAATGGAGTCTTATCAACTTGAAAGATTTTACTCCAGAATGGTGTAAGATGTGGCAGAAGCGTCACCGACATGTCTTGCAATTCCTATTTTTCCTCAACCATGGTAATATGCGACACACGGATCAGTATTTAGTTTGGTACAGATCGGTTAGTACCCCAGAAATGCACGTGTCTCATCCAAGGTATTTGGTTGACCCACGAACACAATGGGCACAATCCTCATTTCCCCAACAACAAACCCAACACACATCAACCTCCCACCAATCCTCCGACAAAACAGAACCACAAACACCCAACCACAGTCACCACCACAATACAATAACACCCACATGCCCCACAACCAACCACAATCACCACCTCAGTACCAATACCCCATATGCCTCACACCCAACCACAATTTCAATCACAATACCTATACACCCGCATACCCCACACACAATTTCAGTCTTCTACATATCCCAATATGGCCCCCTCAACATCCAACCTTAGCCCTGATCTGGGATTGTCCGAAGATTATGAACCAACCGATCCAACTTACCATCAACCACAACATCACCAAAACATCCAACATTCTCAATACCAAACACCCCAAGATCCATTTCCTTTCTACCCGCCGTACTCAGACGACCAGTGCTACAAACCAACCATGAAACCCCACCCACCACCAACACGACCAAACTTTGAGGGTATGGGCAACCGACTGTACCAAAGCGGGTCTTCTAGATATGGAGATCTGACTAATTTCATGAATCCGGAAGGCATTGACTTCGTTGGGCCGTCGACCCTGCCACAACAGCAAACGCGATGAAACTCAGCACGGGAAAGACGAGGACGGGGATGCGGAACCAGGGATCATTACCGTGTTCCCGGGGATCACTGATTAATCTGTATTTTTTTATGTATTTTTTTATGTAATCATTATGTGTGTAATCATATTGTGTAAATAAAAAAATCAATTTTGTTGATCCTATATCGTTTATGTAACGCACCGCATTTAAAATAAAAAACGCGAAAAATTTCCTCCCAATTACACTAAAGCGTCATCTCACTTGGCTTAGGACAAGCCTTTCACACCTAGGCACCAAGTGAGATGGCGCCTCCCCTTTAAAATAAGGTGTAGGCGCCAATTGAGTTGGCTCCTCCCTTGTGGGGTTTTCTGAAACATGATTATTTGCGTAATTTTCTCTGAAACATGGTTATTTGTGGGTTTTTTAATACATAGTTATTCCAAAAAAAAAAAATTCATTTTTAGAGTTATAACTTGTACTAGATGTTCTGAATTCGTGTAGAAGGAGTTGGAGAAAAAAAACTGAAGTTGCAGCAAAAACTTGGTCTTCTTCTGTTTCTTTTTTTAGGCCACGAAGCCCATGGTGTGGGCCATGCAAAATGATGTCGGGCGCCATCAGTTCCTTATGCAGATTGTGGCTTGTCTGGGAGCCATGACAAGCGCCATGAAGTCTGCAGTTAGATTTTCTTGCTTTGTTTGCTTCTTACGTGGGCCTCATAGGTGCCCAGTTATGGCTGCCACCATGGAAAACACTATGGCAGTTGCCACCAATGTCTTTTGGCCATGATTTCTTTGATTTATTTCGTTTTCGTCCCGTTTACAACTCCTACCTAAAACAAGACATTACATACTATCATAACACTACGAAGAAAATGCAATAAAGTATGTGGTTATCAGGAAGGAGGCCAAGGAATAAGAGATACACATAAAGAGTTCCAAACCTCCTTCTCATTAACATAGAACCTTCATGTAACACATCCACTTCATAACTTAAAAGAGCATTCTCCCCCCTCTCTCTCCAAATATGAGAGTTTAAAATAAGGAAACCCCGGTGAAAGAAGATGCTTAGTAATGGAAGAGAAGTGGACTTGGGAATTCAAAACCCCCACAAGACACTTGGACAGAGAATATACCTTTTCACCATCTAAATCCACTTCCAGCCATTTATAACGACCCGAGAAGGAGGATGGACATGTTTTATTAGCTTGAGGTTTCAAAGCTTTCTTGTTTCCATAGGAAACCACATTTTTTAATGCGGTTCCAATTACTACTCCTCCATGTCCAATCATTCCTACATAAGTTGGAACTTGGTTTCCTTTCTCATACCTGATGTGAGGGGCAAACTTCACTTCCTGGTGGTTCCTTGCAAATTCTGCAAGATTGATTCTAAATTTAAAAGAACCCTTTGAAACTTTCTCGTGTCCTTTATCTAAGCAAAATGAACAAAACCAAAGTTTCTTCTTACTTTGATCTTTTAGATGGGCTCAAACCAAACCAAAAGCTAAAAACACTTGAGAGATGAGCCAATCGATACGTTGACGAGAATATTAGTGACATAAAAGAGGTTAAATCTTCAAAGGTATCGCTTTATCTTAGATTAGACATGGTAACCAGATTCTATAGAGCAGAGCTCCAAAGAAGAAGGATAAAATGAGTAAAGAGAGAAAGTTAAACGGCATAGCCACTTAGATAATTAGCAATATGCAGCAAGATCATAATATTCAAAATGCAGCAAGATATTCTTAGACCTTAGATAATTAGCCTAATGAAGTTGCTATATGGAAGTTATGCAGGTTATTATTCGCAGTTCAGTGAGCATCAACAAGAAGTGATCAGAGGACAACTCAGGGAGGGTTAAACCCACTAAAAATTTAGTACTCACCCCCATGTAGCTTATTATTTAATTCAGAGACGTGAATACATGACCGTCTAGATAAAGCAAGCAAGGAATCGAAGGTAAAAAATTAAAATTTATATATTAGGTCTTAAAAGTAGAATTGTTACAAGTAAAACACAAACAAAAAGAATTATGCAGAGTCTTATATGAGCACTACTTTTTCTCTTCCAACTAGTTCTTCACTTTGAAATTTTTCAGTAATCCTTTGACGCCCATTTTGAAACCATGCAAGATCAGAACTCCAATCCAAGGATTCAACAATATCTCTCCAATATGGACTCAAAACTATTCGCTCAAGTTTGTTGGCATATTTGATAACATTCATAGCAAACTCAATTTCATACCAATTGCCAACACAACCTCTCAATTCAATAACTTTGACCTCGTCGTGAGAGAACACTTCCACATCACTAGCAACTTGTTGATTTTCCATAGTCTCAGGATATGTGAGCTGTAAAAAGTAAAATCAAAATTTATACAACAAATCAAAATATCTAAATCATGTGTATTATTAACCATGTTTACTGACCATGACCGAAAGTTCCTGCAAAAGTGGACAAGCTTGTAGGATGGTTAAAATCCCAGAAAGATCAAAGTCTAATTTCTGGGGGGTGTCAAATGGCCGGTGAAGAATCAAGTTCAACTCCTTGAGATGTTCGAGTCGCTGAGTTATCTTTACGAAAGTTGGGACCTAAACAAGAAAATGTAAGACTCATAAAATATCATTCAAAAGACAAAGAAAGGTAAACAATTCATGTTCGAACATTTTATGACTTACCGTTGAATAAAAGTCTAATTGCAAAATCTCAAGTTTAGGAAGAGTTGCCAAGAGTCTAAATGCATCAACATGTTCTCCACTATAAATAACAGCAAGCTGAACGTTGTTCAACATAGGGGTATTAAAGTTCATGTTACCCAAGCGATCTCCACGCTGTCGACGGTACTCCAATGAAGTGAGTTTAAGGCAATCCAGTAAAGTCAGGCTTACATCCTTCCCTAAAATGCTGTATCGGAAAAAGCATGATACCTTGAGATGACAAAGGGATGAACTCACTATCTTTAGTATTGGTGATTCGAAATCACATTCAATTAAGTGAAGCTCTTCAAGTTGTTTACAATTAGATAATAAACTTTCAATAAAAGATGCATCCGCTCTTAACGTTTTTAGTGAAAGGAAACTCAAGTTTTTGAATGAAGTGAAGTCATAATTAGTTGGATGGAAAAGAAGACAATATTCAAGACGCAGATGCTTCAGAGTTGAAGCCGTAGTCTCTGAGAATAAATGGAGGGGAAATTGACAAGGTCTGCGTAGATAGGTGGAAAGTGTATATGGAAGGGAAGTTACACTAAAGAGTAAATCTATTCTTTGAATCCCTCTTTTAATTAGAAAACTTATCCATTCATCAATAGTGCTTTGTTGTTGAGAACCTAAATAGAAGTTGACCAAGAAAGAATCAATAGTTGTGGCATTAGAATGCTTGAGAAATTGATCAACTCGTTTTACAAATAAATCACTAGTATCCCAATTGAGCGTTCTCTCCATGGCAGAACCATAAATAGTAGGGAAAGGGACATCAATAAGATACCCCTTTTGTATTAGCTCCTCCTCAGTGTTTTCAAGGACATTGAAGACATCAAAGTAAAGATCTCTCCTTAAAGTCCAAAGATTACGCCATCTCTTAGAGAGTATACTAGTTTTCAATAAATCTTTTATGGATAACTTTGTGAAGATGTAAGATAAGACGCAGTCTGGCAAGTCTGGCACTTGACTAGTACAATCAAACATTTTAACCTGAAAATATATAGTTTTTGACAAACGAGATAAGCAAACATCCAATACTATAAAACCTAACTAAGGAAGCAAACGACCAAAAGTAATAGAATAAACCGAGATGATTTACCTTCTTCAATTTGATGCCTTCGTCCAGGTTGGGAGTGGGACTAGAACCTGACATCCTTCTTCTTCCTTTTCTTTTAGGTTAGGTTTCTCTCTCCAAAATTAGGGTTATATATATATATATATATATATATATATATATATATATATATATATATATATATATATATATATATATATATATATATATATATATAAATTAGGGTTAGGTTTCTCTCTCCAAAATTAGGGTTAGGTTTCTCTCTCCAAAATTATATATATATATATATATATATATATATATATATATATATAATAAACTAATCATCGTTTATTCAATGTAATATATTTTGAATGATATGCGTAAATATTATTTATAATTATTTTATTAATGATTATGTAAATTAATTATAAATAAATAAAATTAATTATGTCAATGTAAATTTTAGATATAAATATAAAATTTAAAATGATTAACTTGTTTGTAAAATGAAAAAATATTCATATAGATTTAATTATATTAAATAATCATATAAAAATAAGAAGAAGAAAAACTCGTGAAATGGAAAAAAAATAATATTATAAAATAAATATTTTATTTTTTAAAAAAATTGTTAATTTAAATAAAATAGATAATTATGGTAGTGACTTGGAAAATAAAAAATTAATTATCTGTACAAATTTAAAATTAAAATGTCAATGATTTTAATAAAATTAAGTTACCCAAAAATATAAAAGTATGTCCTATAAGGGACATGTTTATTTTAAAATAAATAATATAGTACGATACACCTAATTAATAAATTTAATAACAATTTTAATATCAAAATGTACAGTTTAACAATTATTCTATATTAATCATTCTATCTTAGATGTTAAAAGTTTTTTCTCCATTAAAATAGTATCAAACTGAATTAGTAGCAAAAATGACACTATTTTTATTCTCCATTAAATTATTTACTTTGTGATTAATCCTAACTTATATATATTCTAAGGATTCAAATTAAGAGATAAATATATAAAAAGTTTAAAAATCAAACGGATAAAATATATTTATTTAATTAAAGTTAAATTAAAGTAAAAGACAAAAAACATCCATTCTAAATAGGATTGTTTTATTTCTAAATAAATAATAAACTGGAGATGAAAAATAAACTATTCAAAATAATTATAAAAAAAAGAAACATAATATTTATTAATCATATACTCACTTATAGTCAACTTTAAATTTAATAATTAATTATGTCATACAAATATAATAATTAATTATAATTACACCAAATTAGTAAACTTATGCACATTTTTGCCTTCTTAAAAATGTGTAAATGTAATGGTTGATACATTATCGATTCATTCTTTAACTACAACTCTAGGGATACTGATTACTGCGGTCAAAATATACACTGCTCAAACAAATTACACTCATTTGATTAAATTAATGGCTCAGATTTATGTTGTCTAATATTTTTATATTTAACCCATAAAATAAAGTAGTTAAAAAGTAAACCTCATTTGTAAATATGCAAAAATGAGAAAATTTCATTACCCGAATTGAGTATAAGTTAATAAAATTTTATGTGAACATGTTCCTTGTGCAACCTTGAGTTTTAGTTGTTCGTTCATGTTTCCTAGATGGCTTTGCTACAAAATGGTCGAAAATTAATGAGAAATCCTATCAAAGTTGATCTTAGAAATATGTAAGTAATTTACTAAGAATGAATTCCAAACCAAAATGAAAATCTATCGGTCTTATCTCATTTAACAGAGTCGGTGACTTAGATAATAGTAAATATAAAATCATAGGTAGAAAAAAGTTTTGATTATCGATCTTACCCGATTGCAAAGCTCTTCCATTTGTTTAATCATAAATTGTGTCTGCAAAGGAAAAAGAGCTTATTTCAATCAAGTTATAAACTCCTCCAAAGGCAAGAAGTGCTTAATTAATCAAATTTCTAAAACTTATTGTATTGTAAAAACAACAGGAAAAAGTAGAAAACTAAAATAGATAGATACTTCTATTATACCTTTCTTTGTCTAGCTTGTGCTAAGGCACCTTCAAGCTGTTTCTCAAGATTCTGCAGCTCCTTTGTGTTCAAAGGTCGAGATCTTCTCCAAGCAACTGCCTGCAGAAATGGCATTACATTGTAAAGTAAATTTTCATATTTAGTTTTCTTATCAGTATCGTAGATATTTTAATGAAAAGACCAAATATGTAACTTTGTTATCTTAAAAGAAATGTAAAAGGAATGAAAGACCAATCCCCTCTATGTTAGCAGGCCCATAAGAAATGTTATCATTACAAATACAATGGTCCTTTATATAGGCAAAATAGTTCAGATCCAAATATGCTAAAAGCCTAAATAATTACATAACAAGAATTAACCAACTAACATATAGTACAAACTTTTAACAAAAGCAAATACCTGCATACAATGTCATTTTCTAGAGAATCCCCTTTGACAAGTCCAGCACTGCGCATTTGCTCAACCTACAAGATATTTTAAAGCAGTGTATCTAGTGTTAGTTGCATCATTGCATGGTATCAAGCATGTACAACTAAACTAATAAATTCAATAGGTAAGAGTTAAGAAGAATCTAGTATTAGCATACCTGAGTAGTTAACATATTAGCTCACTACATTCGACAATGATTTGATGAAATGATATGCAATTAGCAAACCAATTAAGTATGTGGAGAATAGGTTCATCAGAAAACATAGAATACATTCATCATCATACAAATATATAATACATTCATCATCAGATAAATTAGTATTTTGTAATAGTGAAACTTTCAAGTAAGTATGGCTCCAGTCCAGTCATAGTAGTTAGTGGTCAAAGGTATGAAGTTACAACGTAATAGAATGATACTATTAGACTTAGGTCTCAATAGCACTCAATCTGTCAATACAAGTTGAATAATAAACAATTTATAAATAGCTTGGAAAAAAAGTTTTATTGTCTGAAACGTTAATGGACCAAGACCCCATACTACAAAAATGATAATGTCAATAGCAAGAATCAACTTTACAATGACTGAACTATTTTGTAATACATTTCAACACCTGTAGAAAAGCATGTCAGTCTATAACAATAAAAAGATAAAGACCTTAAATTTATATGTTCGATGGATTCAATATAAAAAAACTCATCTTGCCAGGACTGCAGTAGCCACCTCAGCAGAAGGAAGCGCAATTTGTTCGCCTGGCACTAAAAAACAATGACATTTAAAAAATCATTATTTGTAAGACAGTCCATGTGTTTATAAATTTCAGAACGTCTCGGAAGAAGTTCAATGGCCTCTCCCCTAGGAATCACTATGTACTCTATCGCTAGCCGAACCTCCTGTCATAAGAATACAATGAAATTTATAATGATGTCAAAATTACAGAAGTGGTTTATCAAAAAAAGGTGGTACCTCCAAGGCATCAATTTCTTCCAGAAATGGTTTTCGTTTTGGTTCTTCATCCTCAATTTCAATATCCGGAGATTAACTTGATGGCTTCTTTGTCATGGGGCCGAAGGATTCTAGCCCAAGGATCATTTTAACGGCCTTTACCATTCGTGCCATGGTGTTGGACTGCAAGTAACAAACAAAATTTCGTATAAGGAAAAAGGAGACTGCGTCAAAGCAGTGACTCAAAGGGGGTAGCTATAGCGAAAGGGGACCTTGAGAACAAATACAGGTAACTGGTGGAATTTTCCCGCCCCACGGATTCATGGGTTCTGTCGTAACTCAGAACTGAATGCAAGAATTGCGTCAGCACTTCCAATGTCATCCGTTATCTTTAGTAAATCTTCAAACCCCATGACTTTTGTTACTTGTGGTAGATCAGCTTCAAGCATCAAAGGAAAAATCATCCCAATGACGGAGCTCAAATACGGGAGGTTTCCCTGTAACAAAGTTTTCTAGTCAAATTACAATCCAAATAACTATCAGTGAGTTAGATAATGAACTAAGAGATTACATTATAAAAGATGAGGAATACCTGCGAAAATGGCATCCACAGTTGCATTTGATCTCATGATTTAAAGCACTAATGAAACAATATATCAGTGCATCATTATTCAAGCCAATGAAGTAAATTGCAGATAATTTTAGTTCAACGAAAAGATTAATTTATGATATGACACCAAACCTACAATGTACGGTGATCTTGAAGATTCCTCTGGTAGCTACTGAAGAAAACTTGTACGGTGATCTTGAAGATTCCTCTGGTAGCTACTGAAGAAAACTTGTACGGTGATCTTGAAGATTCGACTAGAATTAGTCACGATTTATGTCCAAAAAGATATTTGTATAATATGTGACCTGCATGAAGAAGTGAAGCAATAATAAGAAACTGTTGTGGAAATAAACCCTAAAATCGAAAATCACTCTTGTCAATAACCTCAATTGAGGTTCTCAGATATGCAATCAATTATCAAAAGAAAATATAAACGATTGAAGCTATGCTGTTGTTTTCTTCTTCACCCTCACACAAATAACTTTGTGGATCTGAAAACGTATTCGCAAGCAATAGTTAGGCTTTCAAGTTCGAAATACCCATTTCCAAGACCACCGGTTGAACACCAAGTTTCTTCAACACCAACATTCAGAGAGACAAATGGAGCGATTCAAATATCAGATAATACTATAAGGTGGGAAAATGACAACTTCACAATTGCTGAATCATTTCTATCATATAACTAAATCATGAGCTCGGTCAAATACAATTTTGCCCTTCTGCTTCTACACATAGCCACGTGGATGGCTTATTCATAGCCCATCTTATTTGAAAATACTGCATATTTCTTCTACTTAATACAGTAAGGGTCTCGTATGGTTTTCACATTACATGATCTAGTATTGATTTGCAATGTTTTATCTTGTGTCAAAATTAAACTAATAAAAATCTATTAAAATACAATCAATTTTGAACGTAATATTAAATTATACAACAAAATTGACATGACTTGCAAAAATAATACCCAAATTTTTAATCATTATAAGTCCAAATGAAAACTTCATAATATTATAAATTTCATAGTTGAACTTGTAAATGAATGACGTGGTTTGTTAACCTTGTGACAATTAATCTTGTTCCATTGCACAATCCATCATTTTGATCCAAATTTCTCATTAGCATGATGGGGGTACCAACCTTAAATTTGATCCTATGATTTGGAAGGCCTGATGTTCTTAGTTTACTTAGGAATTATGGGGTTAGAACTTTTTATGCTTCAGTATAAGTTGTATCAGTTCTATCAATTGAATCGAAACTTAGATACTTTTTCTCTTCTCCTAAAAAATATCATGAGGTGTAAATATTAATACATTAATAGAACCAACATGATAAAAATTTGTTGTTGGAAGTTGTGTATATATATATATATATATATATATATATATATATATATATATATATATATATATATATATATATATATATATATATATATATATATATATATATATATATATATATATATATATATATATATATATATATATATATATATATATATATATATATATATATATATATATATATATATATATATATATATATATATTAAAGTAAAAATTATATTACTTGGGATTATGTCCAGTACATAATGGTTGATTTTGTCCACAACTTCCATGGTTGATGCAAGAATAGTTTTACCTTGGAGGTATCCAACATCCTGAAAATTGTCACACAAATTGGGATATGTGATATCAACAATAGCTTTTATAGGATCCTCAAATTTGGACATCAAATTTTTTTGAGGAATCTCTATGTCAACCACTTCATCATTTGGTTCACATATCTTACCATCCCCAACATTTAAGATCCATTTAGAAAACTCAGTTAATTCATTTGAACTTGTATTATCTCTTCCTTGCTGCAACCTTATATTTTTTGTTAGTGTTATAACTTGACAATAGTCCCATACATAGGATGAGCATATTGATGCATGGACAATATCAGAACGCCTCGCTCTTGGAACAAATGGAAGTATTTGTCTAAAATCTCCCCCAAAAACAACAACTTTGCCACCAAAGATTTTATTCGCAATACCGTGTTTGCTCATGACATCTTTGAGTGTCTTATCCAATGCCTCAAAACAGTACTTATGAGACATAGGAGCTTCGTCCCATATTATAATATCAGTTGCTTCAAATAACTCTGAATGTTAGTCGTTTTTGTCAACATTTCAAGTAGAGTTGTCAAGCGCTGGAACTGGTATTTTGAATTTTGAGTGAGCAGTTCTTCCACCTGGCAATAATAAAGAAGCTATGCCACTCGAAGAAACGGTAAGAATAATTTTTTGATGCGAACGAAGTGCACTTGATAATGTTCTCCACATGAAAGTTCGAAGTAGATCCTGCAAAGGTTAAAGCTATTCAAGAGATGCCAACTCCTCGCACCTAGAAGAAGGTTAGAGGATTCTTGGGACGTCTAAACTATATTGCCATATTCATTTCCCACCTAACTGCTACTTGCGAGCCGATCTTCAAATTACTAAAAAAGGATCAAATGATGAGGTGGAATGATGACTGCCAGACTGCCTGTGACAAAATCAAGGAGTATCTTTAAGATCCTCCAACTTCGATGTCGCCGGTTGAGGGAAGACCTCTGATCATGTACTTAACAGTTTTAGAAAATTCAATGGGGTGTGTACTGGGGAAACATGACAAGTCTGGCCGAAAAGAGCACGTAATATACTACCTGAGCAAAAAGTTTACCAACTGTGAAACCAGATATTCACTGCTCGAGAAAACTTGTTACGCTCTGGCATGGACTGCTCGCCGGCTAAGACAGTATATGCTGACTCACACTACCTTATTGATATCTAAAATGGATCCTATCAAATACATATTCGAGAAGCCCGCTCTCTCTGGAAGAATAGCAAGATGGAAAATGGTCCTGACCGAATACGACATTTAGTACACTATCCAAAAGGCAATAAAAGGAAGTGTACTAGCTGATCATTTGGCTCATCAGGCTGTGGACGACTATCAATCCATGAATTTTGAGTTCCTGGACGAAGACATCATGTTAGTGAATGATTGTGAAGAACTTGGACCGTATGATGAACCTGAACAAGGATCCCGATGGACTATGGTTTTTGATGGAGCTTCCAACGCACTTGGTAATGGCATCGGTGTTATGATCATATCTCCCGAAGGTTGTCATGCTCCTTTCACAGTCAGGCTATGTTTCAATTGTACCAATAACATGGCTGAATATGAAGCATGTGTTATGGGTCTCAAAGCTGCTACCGACTTGAGAATCAAATTCTTGAGCGTATTTGGAGACTCGGCCTTGGTGATTAGTCAAACCAAAGGAGAATAGGACACGAAGCATCCTAATCTCATCCCTTACTGAGATCATGTGTTGACACTGATTCCACACTTTTAAGAAGTTACCTTTGAGCATTTTCCATGATAAGAAAATCAATTAGCAGACACACTAACTACTATGTCATCCATGTTTAAAGTCAGATGGGATAATGAAGCTCCTCAAATCACCATTGAGAGATTGGACGAACCATCATAATGTTATGAGGTGGATACTGAAGAAGTAGGAGACAAACCTTGGTTCCATGAATTTAAAAGATACCTTAAGGCCCAAGAGTATCCTGAGGGAGCTTCCGTCAATGATAAGAAGTTCCTAAGAAGGTTCTCTGCCAAGTTTTTCCTCGGTAACGGAATCCTCTACAAGCACAACCACGATTTCGCTTTACTTCGGTGTGTAGACAAGAGTGAAGCAAAGATGATTATGGCGGATATGCATGAAGCTACCTTTGGCACCCACTCTAGTGGGAACGCAGTGGCTAAGAAGATTCTGAGGGCAGGATACTACTGGTCCACTATGGAAGCAGACTGTTATCGACATTCCCGAATTTGTCACAAGTGCCAAATCTATGCTAATAAAGTACATGTCCCTCGAATTCCATTGAACGTCTTGACTGTTCCATGGACTTTTGCAATATGGGGCATCTATATGATCAAAGAGATTAGACCTATCGCTTCTAATGGGCACCGCTTCATCCTAGTCGCCATTGATTACTTCACAAAGTGGGTTGAGGCAGCCTCATTTGCTTCTGTTACCAAAAACATTGTGTCCCGGTTCATCAGACATAACCTTATCTATCGGTATGGTACTCCAGAAAGAATCGTCACAGATAACGGTACCAATCTCAATAATACTATGATCACCGAGCTCTGTGTATAATTCAAGATTCAACATCATAATTCTTCTCCTTACCGACCGAAGATGAATGGTGTTGTAGAGGCTGCCAATAGAAACATCAAGAAGATCGTGCAGAAGATGACGGTGACATACAAATACTGGCATGAAATGTTACCATTCTCTTTTCATGGTTACCGTACCTCAGTACGCACGTCAACCGGGGAAACTCCTTTCTCTCTGGTATACGGTATGGAAGTTGTCCTACCAATCGAAGTCCAGATCCCTTCCTTGAGAATCATGAAGGATACATGTTTGAATGAAGATGAATGGGTTCAGACTCGACTTGATTAGTTGAACCTCATTGACGAGAAAAGGCTCGCGGCTATCTGTCATGGTCAGATGTACCAAAAATGTATGATTAAAGCTTTTAACAAGAAGGTTAGACATCAGGAATATCGAGTTGGCGACCTAGTAATCAAGCGTATTATCCTGCCACAAAGTGATCCCAGGGGCAAATGGACTCCCACCTATGAAGGACCATTTGTGATCAAGAATATATTTTCTGGTGGAGTCATGGTATTAACCATTATGGATGGTGACGACCTTCCACATCCTGTAAACGCGGACATAGTTAAAAGATACTATGCATAAATAGAGACCCGCAAGGTTGACTGGCCTAGGAAAAAATAAGGGCATCCCGGAGAATCAAAAGGGTTTGGGAAAAAGATAGGGATACATACATGAAAAAAATCAGTACACCCGGCAAGTCGAAAACCTGAAAAGGAGGCTTGGGCAAAAAAGGGTATCCCGGTGGATGATAACAAGAAATCGTATCATATAATTACTACACTTTTTTATCGATTTTCATAATACATTGAGTCGTTTAACTCCCGATTATTCCGAGTTTTTGTGTCTCTTCACAGGTACAACATGTTTCAACTCAAATCAGTGGAAAAGGATCACATGAAGGAAGCTAACCAAGAATCAGAAGAAAAAGGACCAAATCTGCAAAGTCTGCAGATTTTGTAGCTGTGACGACCGTCACACCCTATGACGACCGTAACGCTCCCACAACTAGAAGGATGCTCGTCACACATCATTGACGAGCGTAATGCGCTATTTAAGCGCATTACGACCGTCACCCCCTCGTGACGACCGTCACACGCTTAAAAACAACGTTATGGAATACAGAGAGACGTGGGCAACGTTGTGGGCAGTTTCTTCTCCTATATTTCCTCAACTTCAGTAACCATGAATCCGGGTCTTCCTCCACTCAAGCTGTTCCAATATTTTCTCAACTGCAAAATCTTCTTCTATAAATATGGAGCAATTCAATGGATGAGGGTGGAAGAATTTTCTACAGAGCCAAATTTCTATTTTTCTGCATTATTCTATTTTCTTGCTTTTAAACCTTTTTATACCCACTGTAATTT